GAGCTGATACTGCTGAAAACATGGCCATTCCACCCCACGAGAATCCCGCCAACGGCCGTAAGTGGTTGATATAAATAACTTGCTGTTTGAACTTTGGAGGTACTGTCAACCACAAAAGTTTACGGACCACGGGAGCACACGGCTGAAAGCCTTTTCGCGATACCTCCGCTACGTCAGCGGCCGTCGACAGCACCGCAGCACCCTGAAAGCATCCCTCCTCTAATCGGTAGCATCTCTCTTTTCTGACTTGGAACAAATAATTTTCGCCCTCTCTTTTCAACGCGACGCGCTTTCGGCATCTGCGTCTACGAGCTTCTGCCTGGTCAGCAGTCTATGAGCATAAAGTTTATAAGCCGCAATCTTTATCAGATAGGGACACCAAGCCAACAGGATGCCGGTTGAGGCATCCTGTTGGCTTTGATTCTTATATGAATATGATAGCTTTAATAGCTATCATATTCAAAACTATTGCTGTATTGCTAGATTCCTGTATTCATAGAAGGATCAAAGCTATGATAGCTTTGATCTTCTTATAAATACAGCAATCTGATGATCCTACTTCAGATAAGTGCTTCCCGCGAAAACTGCGAACAATGCGCTATGCAGCAGTAGAAAACTGAAAAGCCAGTGAATAAAAAGATCCGTTTCCAGTCCAGATCTCTGGTCGACGGTAGATGGTGCCCCACGAGGTGGCGCGGACAGGCAGTTGGGCATAAGTTTGGCATAGGGTTCCTTGATTCGCCCGCACCCCTCCCCGACTAGAGGTTGGAGACAACCGCGTCGTCTGCTACGGAGTCCGCCATTACAATGCCTCCTCCGCAAGCCACCTATAGCCACCATGGCCAGCCCACGGGTGTTTCAGGGCTGCACGCTGAGCTTGACGATTCATATGTGGGATTTGATGTCCCAAAACCACCTTATGATTATGCATACAGAGTTTGTCGCGTCAAAACGTGGGGTACTCAAACAACATGAGAGACATACAAAGTTTTCGCATCGAAGTGCGAAGGTCTTAGTTTTCAAGCCACTAGTCTTCAACTTTAAAGGGACATTAGTACCTGAAGTTGCTCGCAGCAGAAAAATACTGTCGATGCCAACCACGCTAACGCCTTCAAATAACGTCTTTTTGGACTAGTCGGCAACTATTTATATAGGTTTAATATGTAAAACACACAAACCAAGTCACATGACCTTTCAATGTGTTGGTGCGTTGTTGGTCATCTAAAAAAGTGTGAAAGCAGTTTGCCATTTGCCAGTTGGCTAGAAAAAACAATAAAAACTCGCAGTATATCCACAGAGTGAATGATAATGAGTGGGGCGAAGTGTCGGAGGGTTTTATTGGTAAACCCCTAAATGTCTGTTTGTCCATTCGTTCGTTTGTTTCTCTGTCTGTCCATTCATCCATCCGTGTGTCTTTCCGTGCGCCCGTTCATCTGTCTGGCTGTGTGTCCGTCCCTCTTTCCATCTGTCTGTGTGTATGTACTACCGGTGGTTTCAAACGGGTATGTGCCACCATTGGTTACAAACGATAACGGCATGAACTGATGACGCCATAATGGGTTTTGCCTCTAAAAGGCATAGTTGAAGGCGCCAGCAGCAACAAGCACACAACGTAGGCGCACATCATCACACAATTGCAGCTCGTGCACAACAAGTGATCAAGAACAACGAATTTTGTGCTACCCTAAATAAACCATTTAAATACGCAGGTACACAGCATGAAAATGAACGTGTATTGCACCCGGTGTATTTGCGATCGCAATTAAGCCCGATTGGTACCAAAGTTTTCAGCAGTAATTGGCGTCATTCTGCTGCTGGCGTAAAAAAGTCAATCACATCAGGTTTGATCGTAATTGAAAGTGCCCGTGTGAGAGTGTTTTAAGGTAAAACTCCCTAAATGCTGAAATGGCATAACTTACGCTGCCCAAACACGAACTGTCCATGGGGTGCTAGTTGTCGTGCTTAATTTTTAAAAGCCGCAACAGTCGTCTTTTCAAATATTTAGAGAATCTGAACATCCTGTATCGATTTCGCGAGTGGTTTGTATACTGTGGCATGCAACACCCAGACATTTTGCCCGAGAAAACACCACGCACCTGTCTCAATCGAGTAGCCGCGACGGGATGGGGGCAGCCGAATGGCGGCCGTCGATCGGAGGTGGCACTCGCCCCTTCAAAGAGTGGCTTCAACCTCTAAAAAGGCGCATGCATCGAGGAACCCTAGTTTGTACCTCTCGGTGTCTCAGTGGTTAACGCCTCGTATTCACGACGCGGAGGTCCCATGTTCAATTCTACACGCTGGAGTCTTTTTTTCTGAATTTGTTTCTGTTCTAGCGTTCTCATATATATATATATATATATATATATATATATATATATATATATATATATATATATATATATATATATACGTATGCGGTGCTTGACATCGACGTGCACGCCAGCACCAAAAATCAATCCAAGAATGTCCATATCATTGCTATCGCAATAAACAAGAAACAGGCTGCGTGAACTATTCGCTGCTATTCAACCTGGGAGCGGCAGCGGCAAATTGGCCGGCCATCGGCGACGACGCAGAAGTGGAAAGGAGGCCGTTAGAACACGTGTTACAACGTGGCAATCCAGGATGGTAACGCCCGTTCGTCGTTGCGAAAAGCTCTTCATACGACTTACCCTGGGCGCAGGCAATTCGTAAAGCAAGTCGCAAGCATGTAAATGTTAACAACATGCCACGCTCATAGTGCGCTCGCGGCCATTTTCCTAGCTCCACATATACCTAATTTAGTATTACGGGACGTGAATGAATGACGAAGGTATGTGATTGGTGCGTACATGGTAATCACGAGATGCGTGTCATGTAACAAAATGGTTACATGCTTTGCTCTCAGCGTGTTCGCGTCCATTTCGCTAGCTCCATGTATACCAAATTCGGTATCACGTAACGTGAATATACGACGACGAAGACAAATGACATGTCCAAACATAGTAATTATGATATGAATCTCGCGTATGGCATAATTTACGTCGGCCTCGTACGATTGTGCTAAATCTAAAGTGATATAACAACATCCCTCATTCGTGCTTCCAGTGTTGTACCAAATCTTTCGCGAGTGGGGGGGGGGGGGGGCAAACATATACTTTAGTCTGCAGTCGGGACATATATAAACTTGCCTGACTCCTAATTAGGAATTAGGCCTGCATAGTGCTAAAAAACACAGTCTTCTAGCTTCTCCCTGGACTGGTGGGTCATGCTGCGGGGTAAGCTTCAAAGCTAAGCTTAACCTAACTGTACTCGAGTCTAATGCTTTATTTGTCGCCATTTTGCAAAGTCTGTCATCGCTCCCAGATACCGTATGCAAAGCTGATCACACTTATCGGAGACTAAAGGGAAACTTTTTTTGGTGCTTCCAGTACGGAAAAACTAAAACATTTAAAATATTCGTCACAATCATCGGCTCACAGCAGCTTCGCCAGAGCAGTGGTGATGCTATTCATTTTTATGAAAAAAAATTATGCTACTGAAGCAGAAAATACTCTGACTGGTGCTTATTTATTTATGTTTTTATTTAAATAAATAAATTTAAAAGATTCGTCACAATCATTGGCTCACAGCAGGTTCGACAGAGAAGTGGTGATGCTTCTCATTCTCGATGAAAGGACATGATTTTCCTGAAGCGAAAAATACTCTGACTAGTCCATAAAACGATTGCTCATTCCCATTTATAACAAAGCAGGCTACAGTACACGACGCTCTCGCGCCATACTGTAGCTTGTTCTGCAATGCTACAGTACAAGGCGCGAAAGCGTCGCGCAGGTGGCCCGCACCGCCAAGAGCCTTAAAAAAATCATCGCAGCATAAATGCCGAAAAACTTTTCACTATATTAAACGATTCTCTGATAACACTTTCATTTTCTCGTAACAATATATTTGTCATTACTGTGGTGAAGAAAAACTTTCCCTTAGTTGGTTTTCCCAGCGTGCAGCCGCCAGTGACCACTGTCGAAAATAGGGGGGCCCCCCAACTTTTTTCAGCTGGGGTGGGGTGGGGTTGGCTCATGCCTTTTTTGCCCCCGCAGCTGATACGCTTGTGCGGCCTCCGCGTATCAACGATTTCCACTTTACGTGGGATCTGCCCATTTATTCTTGTACATTTTTTAAATCTGTAGTTCTGTTATAGCCAGCTTTTAAATAAATGTCGTGTGCGCAGCGTATCACGTAGAACCTCAAAGGCATGTGCATGATAGTGTTGTAATTTGTTGTGTCTCTTTTTGGGTTCAATGATGTGAATGTTCTATTAAGATTCCGCGTAGTGATTTGCCTGTACCATTTGTGTTCCTTTATAGCATAGTTTGTATCTATTATTTTTATCACTCGTATCTCTGTTTTACTCTTGGCTAACTTTTGTAATCACCTGCATTTGCCCTTGTTTTGATTAGGTGCTTGTTTGTGTTTATTATTATTGTAATGTCCATGTCTGTTCTATGAGTACGTAAGCCGGTCAGGCCCAATCGCTACACGTACCATCCCGCACGGATCGACTGTCCTGCAAACAAATTCGAAATGTTCCACTTGCAGGCCTTTCAGGTGTCGCAGGCTAAAGCGTAAAGTGGAAGCATGCGTGTCTACCACTCGCCGATGTTGAGTCGGCGAGGCGTCACCTGAAATGTGTTACGGGTACACAGCATCCTAAATCACGTGGAAGTGCGCGAAACTGATTTTTCATATATTTTGTCGGAGCTACAAACATGCATCACTTACTTCAACAGTATTTTTAAATACCAATATTTAAAGTTATCAGTATGTAATTTGCAATGTAATGATAAGTGCTCGTGTATCGCGACGATTTCTAACTGATACCATTTCACAAGCAGCAACCGATAAGAAACCTGCTCTGTCATGGCAGAATACATGCTCTTCGAGGGGTAGCTTGCTCTTAGCGGGCACTCCACTTATCGATGCGATATCGGCTACCGATAAGACGTCGTCACTCGGTCACTCACCGTGGCGCGTGGTTCACCTGGGTTATCCTCCGGCCTTTTGAGCACTTGGCGTCGTATCTAGGGAAACAGCTGGATTCCTTAACAAAAGCGTCGATATTCCGCCAACGACCTAGCACAGGCTTCGTGCTGCGACTGAACGGGCGAAAACAAAATCCCTCATGAGGCCGCGCCTTGGTCGGCTTGCAGTGAGCCTATTGCGGCCGTAAACACATTTCAGCCGTCGTTTCGCTGTGCGAGCGGCTGAAAAAGTTACAAGGCCAAATGCCGGCAGCTTATCTGAGATAACATTATGACGCAGTCGCGTTACCTAGAGCAGTCGAAAGAGGCAGTGATGGAAAAACGAACACTCTTTTCATTCGGTGTTTGGACTCCACGCTGTAGGATGGCACAGAGATGCGTTATAAGCACTTCTACTGGCCAGGATGATGAAGCAACTGTTAGTGTATGGACACGCGTGAACAAAGATAGCTTTGACGAGTCCGTTTCCGAGTAGTGCATATTAAATGATAATAAGCGATGATTGAACACTTCAGTAATACTCAACAACTGGTGGCTTGCGAATACAGTACCCGTGCATAAATCTTGCTGTACACACGAAGTTATAACGACACACTACTTTCATTACTGTGTGCTTACTGTAAATTGTTTGACCATATTATTTATAAAGACTAATAATACATTTAAAGTATAATAACTTACTATACAACCTATAAAATTGGTAGCATAGTTTCCGTTCAGGACTGTTAATTATCACCAAACTATCTGAAATAAGCCATGATATAGCTGAAGCAATAAATGGTACAAGTGAAATTGATGCAGTTTTTCACATTTCATGTTCCTCATCCAGACCTAGTTACTAAATTAAATGCCATTGGTATACACCAAAAAGCAGATCCATGAATAAAAAGCTATCTGGAAAACAGGATGCAGTGCACAGTGGTGAATTTTTTTCTGCCTGATTGCCTTGATTGATTGATCGATCGATTGATTGATTGATATGTGGGGTTTAACATCCCAAAACCACCATATGATTAAGAAAGACGTCGTAGTGGAGGGCTTCAGAAATTTAGACCACCTGGGGTTCTTTAATGTGCAAACAAATTGGAGCACACGGGCTTACAGCTTTTCCGCCTCCATCAAAAATGCAGCCGCCGCAACCGGGATTCGATCCCGCGACCTGCGGGTCAGCAGCCATGTACTACGTTTGATTACTATTGACGCTCATTCTGGTGTGCCGCAGGGATCAGTGCTTGCGGCACTGCTATTCCTGATCTACATCATAGCTATTCAATCACGCAATTATCTATAAGTACAAATGCGATTATTTGCTGATGATGGCGTAGTTTACAGAACATTAAATAACAGCGACTGCCAAATAGAATCGAATAATTGCTTGGATTCTATACAAAACTGGTTTAACGAATGGTAAATGAAACTAAACGCAAATAAAACAGCTAGTATTTCTTTTACGCCATAAAAGAAAACTTTTTCAGTACCAGTACACCTTCGATAACGTCCCGCTGAAGAAGTGTGGTGAAGTCAATTATCTCGGAGTAATTTTTACGACAAAATTAAACTGGTAATGTCATATTACACGTATATCAAAAGGCTCTAAGCTGCAGTTGTTCAGAAAAAAAAACTAAAAACACCCCTCCCAGCGTTCAACTAACTGCGCATAAAACACTCATTAAGCCAGCTTTAGAGTATACGGACTAAGTATGGACTCAACACCAAAAATATTTAACCGATGAATTGTAACGCATACAGAACTTAGCATTGCGGCTTATATATTTAAAATATTCACAACAAACATCCATTACGAACTTGATGGTCAGGGCTGATATCCAACCACTTCTACAACGTAGTCTGGTTTTAGACAAAACTTTTATACCTCCTTCATCAGCGATCTTATCGAATACACCAAGCGCAACACATTTGTACGCCTTTCTGACATTCAACTTAGATGAATCATAATAGAACGATGCGACAACAATCCTGTCATAATAACTCTTCAAATATTTATTATTTTACAAACCATTTTCCAATAGAATACACGGCCTGCTGATGTTCTAAACTTCTAAACTGTCAATGAATTCATTAGCAGCATTCAGAGTTTTGATTTCAAATGGTAAAATAGTTGGTATCACTAGTATTGCATATGCTACCCCATCAGCAAGCACAGTTATTATAATACTGTTTGATTTTTATATGTACACCTTGTTTACTGCATAATGTTCATATTCCTTGTCATTGGTATTCGCTCATACATATTGCTCTGTATAGGTGGTGTTGCTCTGTATCGATGTTTTTTTTTCTCAACCCACTCCTGCATGGGCTCGAGAAGGGCCTGCAGTATTGACATAAAATAAATATTATATCCTAAACATACAAGGTGCGTCGTCGTAGTCGAAGCCTCCTGAACTTGCTTGAGATAGTGCGCAGTTCATGTATGTACTCTCTGGGATATCCGAAAGGGCTAGTGAATCTCAAGGCTGTTTTTCCCACGCAAATAGTACGATGTAATGGCCGGGTTGTCCTACCGCCGTTATGTGCCTCTCTGAAAATTTGTAATTATAGTTTTTTTGGTTCATATCCCAAATTCTGGATACGAACATACGTGATGCTGTAGTGATAAGATCCACTAATCTAGACCATGCATCTCGTTTTCTTTACCGTGCGTTTGGGTCTACGTACACAGGCCTCAAGAATTAGGCGTTCATCTAAATGCGACCACCACAGCCGGAATTCGATTCCACGACCTTCGAGACAGCAGTCAAGCCCAATAATCACTCTACCACCGTGGCGGGGGCGGAGCATTTGTGAACGGGTGTTTCGAAAAACGTTCCCATATTGTTATTTGTCATGATATTCTTGGAAATGCTTGTTAAGATTTGAATTGAGAGAGATTGAGACGAGAGTAGCAATAAAAAACACTTTTTCAACAGAAAAATGAAAATCATAAAGAAACACTCGCGAACATTCAAAATATTTCAACAAAATGCGTACATAAACAGCCGCACACCAACTGAGTCCAGTTTAAATTCGCCTTAAGCCTTAGCCGGTAACTAGCCAATATGGCGTCTTAATAATGAAACATTTTAAAGGTCGCGTCGACTACATGTATGTGCCATGTCGACGGTTCGTCCGATGTGTCGTCGACATCTTACGGGGGCTTCCGAGGTCGCCGTCAGTTGTCTCCGTACTACAAGTCATTAGTCATCATTGCCGGTGTCCCGGACTTATCGCTTTCAGCCCAGCTAGATGAAGCTTAACTCGTCAATGGCACAGTTACATGTGGACGGGCACTCCGATGATTAGTGTGGGCTGCTACCATACTGGCGCGAAGTGGGACAGCTGTAGGTCCACCGGAAATTGCTGTGAAAGCGTGCGGAGTGTCCGGACAGCCTCACTTGGATCTTCAGAGTTCGATGGTTACTCCTCGGGCCTCTACGCCTACAACCTTCAGAACCAGGCGGCTACTGCTTCTGTCGCTGTAGCGACGCTGCTTTCGCTTATCTTCGCAGCGCGAAGACCCACAGCACAGTGACCACTCATCCTATGGGATTTTCCATTATGGCTCGTGTTGCGTGCCACGAGCCTTTGTGTTTATTCTCGTACGTGAACGTGACCCGTATGCGCACCACCGGCGCCTCGCTCACATCGCCCCCTTTCACCACGAGGGAAGATATGTTTCTTCCTCCGTGCCCTTTTACTCATGACAATATGCCCCACCGTTGTGGTCTCGTGACTAAGGTACTCGGCTGCTGACCCTCAGGTCGTGGGAATAAATCCCGGCTGCAATATCGATGGAGGCGAAAATGTTGTAGCCCCGTGTACTCACATTTGGGTTCATAATCATATGGTGGTTTTGGGAAGTTAAACCCCACATATCAATCAATCCAATCAACTCATGACAATATCGCTCAAGAAGTCATTACCTTAAAATACTAATTTTATTATGTGGAGTAGAAAAGTTGCGTCGCTTTTTATTGGCCTTGTGTGCGACCGATGGTGAAGCTTCGAACTGTGCTTTTAGGACGTCACTTTGAGGACTCACGCGTTTTTGAGGTGCGGCGCCGGGTAGAAATCACTGTCTTGGTAAAACTCGACAAAGAAGCAGTTGAATTGGTTGTATTCTGTGTGGTGGCTCCGACGCGGCAGTAACAATTGTGGGTGTCCGCTTTTGACGCCCATTTTAAAAGCACGGGGTTTTGTTTCTTGAAACTGCGGCCGCTTGTATGCGCGGTGACTGCTGCGCTTTGGTGAATTACTGCTCTGTGCGTCTGTATTATCACCCACCCTTGAAAAGGGCGTTAGCTCTCACAATTAATCTATGAACCCGAAGCTGAGCAAGAAGTTGATAGTCAAACTCGGAAAGGAAAAGTGCCCACGCCTTCATCGACAGTGACTTTTTTTACTTGTGCCCTACGCGCCACTATTCAGTAAGCTTGCAACCGTGTTTCAGTGCCTCGCAAGTACTTCAGCCATTCATTGCACACGGGCTACAAGCGTAGGCGACTTACGCCAGGTAAGGTGCCGTCCCAAAACCAAACCGCGAAGGCCCCTATAGACAGAGAGCTGACGACGTGGCCTACGAGTCGCCTCGGGTAAGCACGCCTCGTGAGCACAGCCGAGTGACGCCGGACATCTGAGACTACGGCTTTACTTGAATAGTTTTCACGTATATATACATAGTTTACTGATCAAGACAAGCGCGCGCTTATCGCACTGCTTACCATAATTTTGTAAGTGACACCTGCAGTTGCTGTGTAATGTATATTCAATAAAGGTTCTCACCGAAAGCTATGCAGATACATTAGGCAGAGCTGCCTAAGCTTTTCGATATGCTACGTGCGTCAATGCGAACTCATCCAGCTAGCCTTTGCCACGTTAATCTTTAAGGCCTTGTCCATGGTATATACTTTCGGCGTTAACTATTTATTATATTCTGATACCTAAGTGACAGCGCCATGAGGTATTTATATGAACTACTTCAGAATCTCTCACTGAACAAACATTACTGAAACGGCCAGGGGGGGGGGGGGGTACAATAAGGCGGAACTTGCTCCCTCCCCGAGCCACACCAGCACCTACCCCTCAAGACTTATGTTGCAGCAATACAACACGGGCTTGCGCCCTGTGGACATCCATAACTGCAATTCAAGCACGATTATTGCAAATTGAATATTTTAATGCTGCTTCATATTTCTAGTAGGTGCCACAAATGGTAGATTGACTGCCGAAGAAGCAATTCAATTAGCTGCTATGCAGTAAATATGTCAAGTGTTGTTTGCGAATGCCAGGGCCGCAGAAATCAGCGAATCCAACTCATGTCCTCGTGTTCACTGTCACTTTATTTGCACCGCAGAAAAAAAATCCCAAGAAAATGGGCTGGCGCAACCTTTCCTTTAGGATCGTTGTGAAGTTTAACGTCCATTTAACGGACGGGTGAAGCGCACCGAGACACAGAGCAATACTTCATCATTGCGCAGCACTCGGTCATCACGGGGAAGTTGCGTGGTGGGTTTGAAAGCCCACGTGTTTGCAAGACCATAGCCGCGACGGTAACGCAATGTCCTTTGACGGCCTCGGCTACGCATTCAACGTAACTTGCGCCGTACACCACCGCGCCGTCAATGAGATACCGCGACTTCTCGCAATTACTGTATCTACATGCTTCTAGATTATGGAAAGAGCACGCTTATTGAAATTTCGGAAAAAAAACTCCAAACTAATAGGCATCGCATGGCGGAAACTGCAGATGAAGAGCAAGCACATGCACACGTAGTTAGACTTGCTTACCAGAAATACGGTCGGCGGCATCGGCATGCTCGTCGGACATGTTGGAAGTTTCTTGGCCCAGTCGATCGGGCTACAACTATAACAAACTCATCATTGAATTCGAAAACACTCGTTGCGGATGCTAGTTGACCCTCACGAGGCTGTTCGTTCGGCAAAGTGCTCGCTAGAAGCACACGATCCACGCACCGAAGCAGCGGCTGCTGCAGCGCGGTTGAGAGCAGAGTCCACAAATTTATGTCACACGTGAGAGGGCGCCACTCCAAGACCTTGAGGCCAATAGCAAAGAGGAAAAGAAGAACGCATGCTACGGGTAATGCAATTCTTTATATTGCCACGTTCATTCTTCAAGTTTTGTTATATTCCTGCTACACACTATGGCATTCTCAGCACAAACTGTGCCTGCAGTGTTAGAGAAGCTTCGGGACCGTAGTAGATTATTTAGTTCAGACCACGCCCACCACAACAGCATTACAGATTATTCTGGAAGCAACGTGGCCGCTGGCGATAACGCCAGAACGTTCGACCGCACGCGTATGAATGCTGACGCGCTTCACCGCTTGTCAGTTGATCGACGATCGACGCTCAGTTCGCCACTCTCAGTGCCGATGTGTGTCACTATATTCTGTCTTTTCGTAAACTTGGCATGACCGAGTACAAGTTCGGCTGAGTAAACTGTTTGATCTTCAAACCAGAGTCTGCTTCCTTTGTCGACGTCACAAACCCATGACATCTGGTGTAGGTGCTGGGTATCGATCCCAGTACCCCTCCCAGTACATGGGACATTTCATGGCAAGAAAATTTCCGTAGAAGCCCCGCCACGGCGGCAGTGGTGGTCTGGTCGCGAAGGTACTCGGATGCTGACCTTCAGGTCATGGGATCAAATCTGGCGAAGGTACTCGGATGCTGACATTCAGGTGACGGGATCGAATCGCGGCTGCATTTTCGATGGAGGCAAAACTGCTGTAGGCCCGTGTGCTTAGATTTGGGTGAACATTAAAGAGCCCCAGGTGGTCAAAAATTCCAGAGCACTTCGCTACGGCGTCTCTCAAAATTATATGGTGGTTTGGGACGTTATGCCCCAGATATCTGTCAATCAACCAATTTGTTGAAAGGGGTGGTAATGAGCCAGCGTATGATGTGTACGTCGAAGGCAGAGTTGTTGCACACGTTCCACGGCCAGTATTGCACAAGTTGGTTTCGTCGATTGGCACAGTGACCACCTGCCCCTTTATGCCGTACTGGCCGCTGCCGTGAGTCTAATGCCTGAAGCTCATAAATGGCAGATGTGGAACTATGAGGCGTTCTTCAACAAGGTTGAGAGTGGGCAGGTAAAGGGGCTTGAGGATATCGGCACCCGTGCGTAACACTCATAGCAGGAACTTGTAACGTGCTGCCATGCCTACGAAGCGACGAGAACCAAGTGAACGTAGTTAAGATCCTTATCGCCAGGCCAGCCTGCCTGACGGTTTGTTTCCTCTTCTCCCGGCTCGGAGGCGGCACGAGTTCGCGCGGCCAAACCAAACATCACCGACACCCTTCTCCTTTTCTCTCTCTTTCACATTCCTTTCTCTCTCCCATTACCCGTCCCATGTGTGACATTGTTGAGGTGGCCTTCCAGGAGAGAGATACGACGCCACACTGCTCTCTTCACCACCCTTTTTTTTTGAACGACGTTGAGGAGCCAAGCGCTCGGGCCATTGAGAACCGATGCCTTCAAGGATGCCTAGATATGCACGCGTCTCCGGAGGAGCTCATTGAGGCACATTAAGGCAGATGGATGGATGAATGGATGGATGGCTGTACGGACGGATGGATGGATGAATGGATCGATGGATGAATGAGTGAATTAAATAATGAATGATTGATTGTATGGATCCCGCTATGCCCTTCAGATCGGGTGACGGTTCACGCCACCTAGCCATAAATTTAAGTATGTCACCATGTAATTAAGTATTGAATTTCACTTGCACCTGGATTGTAGTCACCGATCAGTTGGCCTTCTTCTGGTTATTTTGACCCCTTTTAAAGTCTATTTGCCTTCACTGAAGCAACGACTTAACACGACAGCTTTAGGTTTTCAGGGCATAGTATCTCCAGTATACGTAAATCAGCCCTTATTTCTGGCAAACAAGGAATTGCTAACAGCCGCCCTAAAGACAAAGCGGAAAAAAACTGGAAGTACACCTGGGTAAATGATGGATAGATTTTGATGTGGAAGGCGGATAATTCACGTGTGCTTCACGTCACGTGTTTGAGGATTGCCTGCTTGTTTCTGTAAACCTGTAGTTTCTTATATTTTTAAATAGCGTTTTCTTTTTCTGAGCTTGAAAACATATGGCTGCAGCAGGATCATTTCGCAGTATTACATTGTATAATTTGCGGCATAAAGAAGAAGTTTGATCATCTGCTTTCGTACTTATCACAACACTCAATTAAATATGATGTCATCGCTATAACTGAAACTTCGCTTCGAGAAAGCGAATCAGTTCATCTACCCGGCTACGTCATGCTTTCGAAACCTAAAAACAGTGCTACACAAGCAGGGGGCGTGGAGTTATTTATCAGACTGTTTTAGTTTCGCTCACCTTAGCAATAACTCATGCTGCAGTTCATCGGTACACACTCTTCTTATTCATCTTCAAAATGATGTTATCATCGGTGTAATAAAACGTCCACCAAATTCCATTGTGGCTGACTTCATTATTGTGATAGAAAGTACCTTGATTCACATTGTGGCCTCTAAAGCACCTCTTATTGTCGGCGGTGACATTAACATAGACTTGTCTGGAGATACATGTGATGATTACGCGTTTTTGCTACAATCAGTTATTCTGGGAAATGCTATTCTATCACCTACTCGCATAACAGGCCACTCGGATTCGATTATTGATAACCTGTTGTGTAACGCTGACCTGGAAGTATCGGCAGGCGTATGCGCTATTGCTATTGAGAATCACAATCTCAACTTTCTATTTTTACCCCAGAAACACATTTGTGCTCCTGACATACCTGCCGTTAAACGAACAACACGTGTCGACTATAATTCCGTGCAAAAACTACTACAAGAAACGAATTTTGATGTCCTCTATGATGAAAACGAGGGCGTCGAGTGTGATAACATTGTACAATGCATTGTGGATGTCACTGAACAATCAACGCGTAGCTGTTCGCACTGAAATTACGACCATGCCTTATGTCTATGAATGAATAAAATATGCTTGAGGTTTTGAAGCCTAAAAATTTTTACTACGACAAATGAAAAAAAAAAATAAGAGGAGCCATAAATACTACCATCAAAATTTTAAGGTTTACAGAAATAAGTCAGTAGAAATGATAAGAAAGTCTAAGAAGTGCTACTATACCATTATAGTGAAAAAAAATAATGGTAACACGAAGACGATATGGCAGATTGTTAAAGACGTCACTGGCATGGGTATTAAAGAACGCATTATACCTGATAATCCAACTTGCGAAGTGGCCGACAACTTTCACAATTACTTTACTAACGTTGGTCTCGGACTTGCGAGGAAGTTCCCTGCTCATATGCCGAATTGAAAGGCACCATGTACTGTTACGAATAATTTCAATCTATGTGCTGTGACTGAGGCTGACATCCGACAAGGTATTAATAAGTTACCAGGGAACGAGGCAGCTGGCCATGACGCCATATCATGAAGGATTTTAAAGGAGAATATTGATGTTTTGTGTGGTCCCTTATGCCATATATTTAATCATGCATTTTCCTCTAAAACTTATTCTAGTATCCTTAAGACCGCCAAAGTAATACCAGTGTACAAATCTGGTGATCTGAATCTTCCGGACAGCTACAGACCAATATCTGTCCTGAAAAGTATTGACAATACGCCTGGAAAACTAATTTCGTCGCAAATAAGGCGCTTCTTGAGTGAACAGAATGTACATTGTCCCCAGCAACACAGCTTTGTTGCTAACAGGTCCACTTCAGCTGCCGTTTCGATGCTTACGCAATATAATAATTCCGCGCTATATGCAAACAACATAGCAATAGCAGTATTTTTAGACATACGAAAGCCGTTTGATGCTATTAGTCCTTGCATTTTACTGGAAAAAATGCATTCCTCTCGTATAAAAGGTAACTCGCTTGATTTTTCTTCTAGCTATTTATCTTCACGCAAACAAAAGGTCGTCATTGGTGACATCAAGTCATCTTACGGTTATAATAAATGCGGGGTGCACAGGGTTCAGTTTTGGGCCCTATATTGTTCTCTTTTTAAATCAATGATGTCCCGTGATCCCTACAGAGGTCGAAGGCACTGATGTACGTGGACGACACTGTTTTAGTTTTCACAGGACGCTTCTTAGCAGATCTACAAAATGACGCGATGACCGATTTATCGAACATTTCGGAATGGTTTGCCAGGCATCAGCTGACTGTTAACTACTGGTGTTTTAGCTGACTGTAAGCACATGGTGTTTCACTCTCGTAGGACACATATACACGCTGAATCTCTTAACCTAACAAAAAACAACGCTCCTATTTTTCAAGTTCCTTGTTTTAAATATTTAGGCGTCACTTTTGATGAACATTTACACTGGCATGAGCAAGTACAGAGTGTGTGCGCAAAGATAGCCTATGGCGGCTATTCTCTAATAAAAGCTCGCCAATATTTTCCACAAGCTATATTTCGCACACTCTACTTTTCATTGAGTCATTGCCAAATAGGTTACTGTCTGGAATCGTGGCTTGCAAAGTACAACAGTTATCTAAAAACTCTTGAATCATCTCAAAAGCGTACGCTGAAAATCATAAGCCAAGGTGAATCAGTTTGTAACATTTTCCAACCACAACGCATTTTCTTGGTTCCGATGTTGCCCGACTATAAAATTGCCGTTTCAGTAAATAAAATAATTAATAGAAATTCACCTTTCCTTGCTGATATTTTTTTAATTCCTACACGCAATACGTGACATGTTTCGAATGGTTATTTGAATCTACCCAAATGTTTTATAGTTCACGGAAAAAGACTGATACAGTTTAATGGAACAAAATTATGGAACACGATCCCCCTAGAGGTTAAAACGGCTCGTAATTTCAGCTTGGCATGTGAATCATTCTTTCTGTAGAGTCAAGACATGCAAG